TTTTTTTTCTTTTTTCTGTTTAGTTGCTATTGACGAGCTTTAGAAATCTCAATAAAAAATTATTACGGTCAAATTTCCACCACTGGACAAAAACATGTATGTATCTATATAAAAACTAACATCTTATATTATATAGTAGCGGCTCATTCTCGCTTCGCTCGGGTTCGCCAAAAACCAAAACAAAAACAAATCTATCCCTCGGGAACCGTATATTTTGCCGGGATAAAGAATAGCCTATGTTTTATTCCAGACTACACCCTATCTTTATGCGAAATTTCATCCAGATCCGTTTAGCCGTCCTGGCGTGAAAGAGTAACAAACATCCACACTCACAAACACATTTATATGTAATATTAAAATAATCTGCACTCCCGAACCTAAAGTGCAGTAACAGCAAAAACACGAATTCGAGAAAAACGCGCCTAAAGTTTAGAATCCATAAAAATATATCAAAAAGAGACTTTTCGATAAAACCTTGAATGGAAAGTGAAAGGATATGTACCAAACTAAAATACTACACATTGTTACCTTAGTTTTTTTATAAAAAACTATAATTATGGCAATTTTAATTTTTTAGCCCCTATTACTACACACAGTTTATTTGTATAATCTTTTCAAAAACTATTTTAAATGCAGTAAATCCTTTTATTACTGCATTTTAGACATTTCTTCCATGATTGTTACTAACTGAAGTGCAGTAATATTATGAAAATACTGCTATTTAATCTGTTTTTTTGAACAAAACACTGATATTCCACACATATAGTAATATAAAATTACCTTTGATTTTGATAAAAATATGTAATTTCTTAAACAAAACTGGACATGCATTTATGACTATGCTATTAAAAATATTCATTAAAACATTGTACATTATAATCTAATAGTGTAAATTGTTTTATATGACTAACAATATAACAATCTTTACAAGATGTTGATAATCTTAACTAGTTAATCCACCATAAAACTATCACATGTATTTCTCATGCATGGATCAATAAAATTTACATAAAATCTTTCTTCTGAACATAACTAATTACTAAATGAGTATTCTTGTCTTACAAAAATAATAGTCTGAAAAGATTATGGAAGGTAGAACTAAGGAGAATTAACTTATATGGGAAACAAGTTGAAAAAGTGTCCAGTAGTGAGCAGCAAATTTTAGCTCAGAAACTCACCGTTACAGCACTAGCGTAGCAAGTAGATGTGATGTGAAGTTAGTAGTTTTTAACGGAGTGAAGTGTGCTGAATTATTATTACTTGAAAATAATATATAATTATATTGTATATCGCTGTTTGCCTATGTTAGAACTATTTTGAAAAGTGCGCCACAGCAAAGCGGAAATCTTTCTTTCCTTGTTTAATTCACCTTCTTACTTTTATGACGCTATGTTTTAAACTAGCGACTCACCCTCGCCTCGCTCTGGTTCGTCCCTGGATACTTTTTTTTTGAGCGGAACTCTAATTCTTTTTTTAAAATAAAAGTAGCCTATATTACTCCCTATAACATCAGTTACCTTCCACTGAAAGTCCGTCAAAATCAGTCCAGCCGTTTAAGAGAGTATTCGGAACAAACAGACAGACAAAAAATTTTAAAAATGTGTTTTTCTTATAAGTACCGTATATAATTTCATATGCATTTAGTAAAAAGGTTTATTTGGACATTACAAACTAGTTTTCTGAGGCGCCACCAATTTAATGCTTGTCAGCGGTCACTTTTTATACGAGAAATAGTTCTCCTTAGTTCTACCCTCCATATCTCTTTGGTACAGACACAGCATGGCACGTCAAGTCAGCCTTAAGCCACAGATTAAGGAGACTGCCTCAAACCGCGATATTGCCTGTCCTGTGTTTTAATATTTTAATAATTTTACCTATTAAAACCCAGTATTAGGGAATAGTATTTGACTTCAAGTATTTTATTAGGTAGTAAGAATTGGATGGAGCAAACTAACTAATATGCAGTAAAATTTATAAATATTGTAAACTAAATGGTCTTTTACAAGCAACTACAAAACATCCTACAAGTTAAACTGCAGTAAAGTTATTAAATACTGCATGTCTTTTAGTTTTTCACAAGAAATTACAAAATCCCCCACAAGTTAATGTGCAGTATGGAATGTTAATACTGCACTTTAATTAGGAATATAAATAAAAAATATTTTTTCTTAACCTTTGCAGTATAATCAATTTGTATAGAGTCGAATAATACTGCATTTTAATAAGTTTTTTCTTGCATGTCCTAGAACAAACTACTATTTTAAGTGCCACAAAATATGATAAAATACTGCAGTTTAGTTAGAAAACAGAGAAAAATCTTGTGCAGTATTAATTGTACTGCGGTTTAGCTGGTAAACATGGAATATTTTAATAGATTTGTGATATTTTTGCTGTTACACCTTCCGAAAAAACATTAAAATAAAATACTTTATTAGCGCTACAGAAATAATAATTAATTTGACTGATAGCTACTAAAATGGGGATTTAGAATATATATTTAACTCAAAACCGACCAAAATGTCTATTACTGCACTTTAGTCAGGTGGGCAGTAATACGGAAAAATACGGATTAGTTACTTAGTACATATTATTAAAACAAAATTATTATTCATTTTGCCTCAACATACGACCATGTACATGTACAACCCACCCGTCAGCAATACCTAGAAAGAGATGTTGAAGCCAATATTTAACATAAATTGCCATAGTTAAAGTTAACAAGACTGGTCAAAATAATAGTTAACTCATTATACACTTGAATGTCGAGTATTGAGGAAGCAATAAAACCTATAATGAGTACTTGTGGGGTCCTAGAAGACTAAACTGTAGTTCGAAGTACTAGAACACCTTTTTTTTTTTTTTTTTTTTTTTTTAACGTTGGGAAATGCATTTACGCACGAAGTGTGGGACTCACCGGCGAAGCCAGTACTACCCACTAAAACCCAACAAAACCTTCCCCCGTCTTAATGGGGCGTCGCAGGATCGCTTACGCATTCAACTACGACGCCCCGACGGCAGGTCTGCCGAAGCAGACCACAACAACCATGGGGTTGCTCCACGGTCCACTCTGCTATCAGAGAAGTACCAGGAGCAACCCGCATGGTACATCACCCTCCGAAGAAGGCCACCTCCCACCGCCCACCGAAGCGGGCCACCTCCCTGTGCGTTTCTTGGCTTCGCGAGTACACTACTGAGCCCCCCCACCACGACAAGGTGAACGCACGTTGGGGGGGAAGTACTAGAACACCTACTAGACAATTTATATAGTGTTTTCGTACAGGTTGTTTTATTTTACGCTATTTATCTTAAATGCATGCTTGAAAGAAAGATTATAAAATATGTAAACCAGGACGGTATATGTACATTTTATAAAGGCACTAAAAAATAACTGGAAGTTCAAGATTAAAATATCCATTCTACATTTATTGTGAAATAATAATCTCGATTTAAAGCATTGCTAAACTTCATGATGCTGTTTTGTAGATCCTTTTTAGTCCCACAGCTGGGCGTGGGCCTTTAGGCTTAATGAACGTGTAGAGGACGAGAATATAGGCCACCACGCAGGCTGAATGGATTGGCGGCCTTCGTACGCTAGGTGAAAACTAATAAGGTTATAAGTATATATTTTGTGTAATCATGTTTAAATTGATTCGCACATCCAAATCTGAGGTACGATTTACGAAACCCGGGTTTGAACCCGCTTCACCTTGCTAGTGAGCAAGGTGAAGCGGGTTCAAACCCGTTGAATAGGTACTACAATATTGCAGACTAGACATTTTAAAAATCATATCGAAATGACAGATTTAATAGTTTTTTTCATGGAATCGTAATATTTCATTCACACATATTTTTTCAGATTTGTTTAAATGATTGTAGATTGACATTTTGGCTAAGCCCCTTTATTATTATTTTTAAATTGATATTGTTTTTATAATATAATAATAGCGGCTAACCCTCGCTTCGCTCGGGTTCGTCGCTAGGTACGTTTTAAATAGATATAAATAGTTAGTAGCCAGCGTTAGCCATATACATTTTAATTATTTTTTTTCGTTAGTTTTTCAATTTTTTCTTTCATAAGAACCTTCTCCTGACAATAACAAACACAACAAAAAAATTAGTTAAATCGGTCCAGCCGTTGCCGATGGAGTGACCGAGGGAAATAGGGATTTATTTTTATATATTTAGATTTTTATTTTATTTAACATATTATTATTTATGTACTTTAATTCTTCTAATAATTAAAAAAAAATAGCGACTGATTCGTAATGTTGACCGAGACACATTTACCTTGAAACAAATCATTTATCACTATATAGTATAAAACAAACTCGCTTCCCGCTGTCTCTTTGTATCTATGTTCGCTTAGATCTAAAACTACGCAACGGATTTTGATGTGGTTTTTTTTACAGATAGAGTGATTCAAGAGGAAGGTTTATATGTATAATACATGCATATTATAGTACAGAAAAGCCGAGAAATTCAAAGATTTGTATTTCATACTAACCGTTAAAACGTACCTAGGGACGAACCCGAGCGAAGCCAGGGTGAGTCGCTATTTATTAATAATATGATTGATATATCAAACAAAACGAATAACAATCACAAAAAATATTGCGCTTTCTAGATTAATATAAGAATAAACATTTTATTCTAATTTTCATAATTATCTTGGCAGAAATTTGAATATATTATTTCAACTGTCGAACAATTGTCGAACCTTACATCGTTTTGAAGGTTTCTGTTCACTTACGGCACAAATACATCGTATTAGATGAAAATTTACTAATAAATGGTTCAATATGCTTTTATTAACTATTAAGAAATAACTCGCAAGAATTCATCAGCGAGTTTTGCGTGGTAACGTAAGGGCGTGAAGGATATGGAGAGTAAATATTGATAGATCACTTTATTTTGTGGTACATTTGCGAGATTGTAGCTTTGCGAGGTTAGGACGGCCAGGCAGGTAGCCGGCCGTAGGTCCAAGGGCCGACACTTTCGTAATGCGAGGAAACGTGGGCTCGAATGCCTCGAGCTGGCAACGCTGCATCGGCCGCGACACGCCACCCGCGGTGACACGAGTCAAAGGTCACAGCGCCACTTCACTAATGTCTTCGTCATCTAAACAATCGTTTTCACATGGATCCCATAAACTCACCGTGATAAAACCGTGTAGCGTGATCAAACGTGGCTCGCGGCCCGCGCCCGAGCGGCCGAGCCCGCGGCCCGTGCTGCGTGGCGCCGTCTCGCTCGCACCCCCCGCTCCCCGCCCCGCCCGTCTCGCTCGCACCCGCCGCCCCCTCCGCGCCTCGCGCCGACCCCCCGCCCCCGCCGCGCCACCGACGCCGCCTGGCGGCCGCGCGCGGAACGTACACGACGTCTATGTACACCGATGCCACTTCATACTTATAATTTCGCTGGACGTAAATTTCAACCGAAACGGTTCAATGGACTTTTCGAAAACATTAATCGTGTCAGTTAACGTGAAAAGTCTCGTGCACTAAAAGAATATTCAAGGAAGTTGTGTTGCGCAATTCGTTCTGTAAATATTGTGTTCGAAGTGCCAATTCGTGTCCGTGCGTGTGAGTACGGTGTCGAATCCCGTTTGGAGGCTTTTTTGGACGGATTTATGCTTAAAGGTGAGTGCAAATGAGTTGTAATACCCAACCATAGTATGGAACATGAGTTAAAGTGAGTTTGAAAAGTTTAATGTTTTCTTACGGTAACTTTCCCTAGCACGTTCATACTGAGTGACTTAACTGCGTAAAAGATTGCCCTCGTTAAAGTAGGCAGCTCGTTAGACAAAACCGTGGGTCGGTGACTGCTGCACGTGCAGAAACTCGTGTTATATAAGGCGATGATAAGCTTATCATGTCGGCACACAAGTTATTTTAGTTTGGTTCTCGGCCAGGTTAAACAGCATTCAATTCATTCAAAATTGCAGTGAAACAGCTCGAGCCGTTCACGTTTAGGCCTACAGCCATAGAACTGGCAAGGCCACGACGCCTCTCACTGCCTTTCAATAGTTTCATCAAAATACCTTTTTGAATACTTTGTCTTTATGTAAATAATAAATAATGCATTAAATGTAATTATAATTATATAGAGAAGACAATGCGTACATAAAAATGTAAAACATGATAAAAGCTGAATTAAATTACATCAATGCCAAAGTAAATGAAATAAATACAATTTCCATTATTTATAAAATCATATTTTTTAACACGAGGTGGGCGAGCGTTACGAAACTTAACATTTATTTATCAAACAGTTACTTTTTTAATTGACATGATCGTAAATTTTACTGAAATAAAAAAAAAATATATTTATCTAATCAAAATATTGTAAAATACTAAATTAAAACTAAACAAAATCCGATATTGAAAAATTTCAAAATTGCAACAATTGAACTACCTATATTAAAAAAAAACATATATATAAAAAAAAACTGCAAATTTATTATTTACATTTAATTAAGTACATAAAGTGAAAATATTTTTATATTCTCGTATTTTTATATAGATACTTTAAATGCGAAAATGTGTTAATTAGTTTTTTCTTTTATTTAAAACACATACTAACAGCCTTTAAATATCTATCTCACTAAATAGGTAATATTATATGTAAAACAGTATATAAATAAGTGAAATGTGCTAGAAATGACTTGCAAATAGAACATTTTATCTAAAGTACCCAAAATACATACATACATATGTATAGAAGTACAACAATTTCGTAATCGGTAATAGCATTACAGTATAAACCCCTCCATACACAGCGGCTGGCTTGATTCCAAATTCAATAAATCGTTATCAATGAAAAAGAGGCTAGGAAATGCGAAATCACGTTAAATGTTAAGTACAAAGTATTTTATAGCGCTACCGTCGTAATAAAATAAGAGAACTAGTTTGGATTTTATCTCTTTGAAACATGTATACGTAATCAGTTAGTGCGATTTGAAAAACCTTTCAGGTTGGTATTATCATTGATTTTGAGCTAGCGATTATGTTTTTATTTTATCGTCCCACTGCTGGGGGTGGGCCTCCCTTTAGTATGAGGAGGATCAGGCCGAATGCTGGTTGGCGGACTGAGAACTTGTCTCGAAAAGTTACTAGGTTATCTCAGACATGCAGGTTTCCTCACGACGTTTTCCTTCACCGTAAGACAAGTAGTAATTATGTTGGAAATGATTCGCACATGAAAATATCAGAGGTGCGAGACCCGGGATTTAAACTCGTTTCACTCCGTTTCTCAAGCGAGCGCGTTACCACTGAGCTACCACTGCCTTCAGCGATTATTCTAATAACTAATCTTTATATATATAATTCTTCTGTGAGTGTGTATGTCACTGAACTTCTCTCAAACGACTGGACCGATTTTGATGAATTTTTTGTGTGTGTTCAAGGGGATCTGGGAATGGTTTAGATTCACAATTTGAATAATAATTTTCATCAAAAAAATTATTAAAAAAAGTTTGAAATTTTCAAATTAAAGACGTGTAGACAGGACAACGTCGGGTCCGCTAGTTATTAAATAAAGTAAATAAAAAATTGTTAAAATAATTTTAGTTCCACCCTTAATAGTACTTAAAACTTTTCCTGGTAATAAATACATAACATACGTACAAAATATGAATAAATAGCTAAATGCTTCTATAGTAAACACAGCTTTTTCGACGTAGGTTTAAAACTGATTTGTAGAATAGATATCTCTATTTAGCATTGACCGAACTATTTGACATAGTTATTTGTATGACTAGCATTTTGCCCGCGGCTCCGCTCGCGTTCAGTTGACCGAATACCAAATTCTTAGGTTTTACATATTAGTATACTCTTACATTGCAGTTTTTGTATTTTTTCTCAGAAATGAGACTTTCTCGCGGTAAAAAGTATCTTATATGTTGACCCGGATAACCAGCTATCAAAATACCAAATTTCATCAAAATCATCCCTCCAGTGGTTTTTCTGTGATGTGGTAACAGACAGACAGACAGACAAAAATTCTATAAACTATAGGTTCGGCCTCTGTATCTATAATAATGTCTATTTCAAAAAGATTTTCCAAAAAATATTTAATGTACAGATTCGGCTTATTTACAATTTTATTATAATAAATATGTATACATAAAAAAAATTGTATTCAGACCAAAATGATGCCAAGAATTGTAACTTTGTTGACGTAAAAAATAGTAAAATCTCAAATAGAGCCAAGTTTATTAGCTTATGTCGTAAGCTCTGGTTTTATTTCAACATTTGGACTTGGCACATTCCTCTACTTAACTGTTTTATGGAATGATACTAGTACCTGCTTCATGTATCCATACTATTAGATATTATTATAAATATGAAAGTGTGTTTGTTTGTTTGTCCTTCTTTCCACTATTCCTCACTATTTCGTATTTCTTCTCAGTCTTCTCTTAGCTCCGCAATTCAACTCTTATATGCATTAAACAAAAAACATTCTAGTATTCGAAAATTCTAATATTTTCAAGTAATTTATAAATCCGTTCTGGAAAATGTTTTGTCCCTTTCTTACTTGCGGCAATTTGCAATTAACTATTCTTGTCATTAATTGTCATAATATGTTGACTGTCTTAGGATGTATATAGCATGTTTTAGACACGCCATTACAAATTATTATTTTTGGTGTAAAGTTGTTACACACTCTCTTCTACGCGACAATAACTATGGTATCACATAAATTTTTTTCTACAAATATGAACATATTACTATATAAACAGAGATTAATAGAGACCCGGGATTGGAACCCACTTCACTCGGTTTCCCAAGCTAGTGCGTTACCACTAGGCTACCACTGCTTATCCATACACGATAAGTAAAACATAAATTATATGTATACATATTAAAAATCAAACGAAGACTAAAATATATATTTATTAATATTTCATAATGTAAAACAATCTTATTTATTACTCGTTTAGTCTAAAAACTATACGGTTTTAAAGTTTATGTTTATGTCTAGAAAGTTTGCAACTTTAAATTTTCACCGTCTATATTAAATTAAATAGAATAAAATTTCAAGCGTTCATTTAAATTAGCAATCCCTAGATAGTAGATACCAAACGCTAGATAACTTCAATATAACAAATAGGTTAAAAGTTATATTTAGCCCATTTTAACGTCCCACTGCTGGGCACGTGTTTTCTTTCAACGTGAACGGAATTAGGACATTTGAACACGCTGTTCAAGTACGGGATATCTATCAAAAATCTGCTAAATTCTCTCCGACATGCAGATTTGCTCACGATGTTTTCCTACACCGTAAAACAATCATGTTGGAAATGATTCGCACGTATATCAGAAGTTCGAGACCTGGGATTTGAACCCGCGTCATTTGGTTTCCCAGGCGAGTGCAATACTCTAGATCTCGTGCTGATCCGCTACTACGGATCTAGAATTACAAGGGAATGACAACTCAATATATTATCGTATTTATAATATATAATTAGTATGGAAATTCTAAGAAAATATAGTTTCCTCTTGCGTAGGTTTTAGACACAGGATGTCGACTAATTGAAACCGTCGGGCGTCGAGGCATTAACGATTTTATTGTCTTGCGATGCGTTACAATATAATCATTCGTTTATAAGATAATGGCTTTCACCTGTGACTTTGCTTGCGTAATTTATTTTTGCTTTTAATTATCGTAGCGTTATGAACATAGATAGTGTTCTCTATGCATATTGCATAATCTACACTAATATTATAAAGAGGAAAGATTTGTATTTTTATATGTAACAAATAAACTCAAAAGCTACTGGACCGATTTAGATGGACTTTGGTAAGAAGGTAGTTTAAGACCCTAGGAAGGATATAGGATATTTTTTATTCCGGAAATCATGCCTTAAGGAGCTAAAAATGGGGATGAAAGTTTGTATGGGGAATCAACGTAATATATAATACATACAGAAAACATACATTTATCGTGAAAAGTTCCTTGTATCAGAGAGTAAATAGAGTTTATAAAAATATATATTAATTTATTTAAATATTTAAAAATTACTCGCTCTATTTTGTTCAAGCGCATCAAGCGCATAGGTAAATGTTCAAAAAAAACTAACTTTGATATCTATTTCTATACCAAGTCACAACAAAATCAGTGTACCGGTTTTCGACGACACGTTTGGCTCAGTGTGTAGTGACCCTACTTGCAGTGCCAGCGATCGCGGGTTCGAGTCCCGCTGGGAGCATTCATTGTTTGATGAGCACGAATGTTTGTACTACAGTAATGGGTGTTTATATTTATAATATGTATGTATTTAAAGCTATATATGTGTAGTGTATCAACTATGTATCTGGTATCTATAACACAGGCCTCGTAGCTTACCATGGAACTAGATGGTGACGTGTATTAATGTCCCAACATATTTATTTATTTAAGCACGATTGCAACAAACCTTCTTGCTATGTGGAAATAAAACTTATTATTATTCACAATTCATGTTTATTCCTATTACATATCTTTGAGACAACTGTGACAGGTAAAAAAAGATAGAAAAGTTTGTCCAACGTAAAGTGCTTATATTTGAATTTAATATATAATATGTCGCAGGTAAATTGTAAAAACCATGAAATTATAATTACCTTAAATGTTGTAAATCGTCTCCTTTTCTTATAATATCACTGAACAATGTTAGGTATATTAGAATTTCACTGAACACATTCAGTGACATTGTAATTACTCTAGTTAAATTGTCAGTAGTAGCAATACTAGAACGTAGGAAGCCTCGGTCCTTTTTGAATGGTAGGTTCACTGATCGGACATTTTTAAAACCGAAAACGTAAAAATTTAACGGTTTTTACAATTTCTCTACGACATATGTATAATATACCAACATTGGTATATAATAATAATATTGTTTACATGATTATTTCTATTACTTAACTAATAATTTACAATTGTATACAGGTTATCGGTGGTGGTGCAGTGTGGTGGTGTGTGTAGTGTAGTGGCATGGCGAGCTAGCGCGTCCGGCATGCGCACGCGCCGCTAGCCATGCTGGCTGGCACATGGCGCAGTACACGCAGAGGTCACAGCCCATGCACAGGTATATAGTGGATAGTATTATACGTATAAAAGAACAATTCTATTTATTACACAAATCTAACAATTAATTATTTATTATTAATATTGTATTATTTCTGGTTTACTTATACTACTCTACAAAATACTTTCTCAGTGATGCACTGAATCGTATTTCGCGTCACCTCCAGAAAAACTAAAAAGTCCACTTGACAAAGACACTTGACAGCTTGATGTTATGACACAATACATATGTATTATCAAATGTCAAAATAGTGAATGTGACCATAGAGTATTTATTATATTTGAAAGTACCTGTATTGTGCACCAATTATGTATCTAGTTGTTAATATTGTTGGAAATTATAAAATTGGAATAATGTATGCATTTGTATGATAATTTGGTCTTTTTTATCGTCCCACTGCTGGGCATGAACTTCTTCTAAATGTCAATGGCTTACGTCATAGTCTACTAGGCTGGACAAATTCGGATTGGAAGACTTATGTTTCGAGAATCGTCCTTCATCACAAAGCATCTTAAAAATGGTTCACACGTAACAGTACCAAAAGTACGAGATATTTGCTTGGTTTTCCAATCGAGCGCGTTACCGCTAGGCTACCACTTGCGCTTATATACACGACCGGTAATTGATTAATTAATAATTTACTATATGTGATATAGGTAATGAAAGTCTCGCTATAAAAGTAATTACATTTAACGATTTACTACATTATATAGAGATTGAAATATTAATTTTCTCATACCGGCTTTGATGTTTGTTTATAGTCTACTTCATTTAACAATCTGATACTCATTAAAATGCGAATAATAATAATAAATTAAATATATAATGTATATATTTATTTATCTATACATATAATAAATAAAATAGTGCTAGTCCGTTATATATTTAATAATGACTCTAAAATATAAGTAAATTTGGATATTATTCATATTATGTAGAGAATGATCGGTAGGTACTTATATATCACTAGCACTGCCCGCGGCTCTGCCCGCGTTCAGATGACCAAAAACCAAATTCTTAAGTTTTACATATTAGTGTACTCTTACATTGCAGTTTTAGTAGTTTTTCTCAGAAATGAGATATTTTCCCGCGATAAAAAGTATCCTATATGTTGACCCGGATAACCAGCTATAATCATACCAAATTTCATCAAAATCCCTCCAGTGGTTTTTCCATGATGCGGTAACAGACAGACAGACAGACAATCTATGTGTTATATCAGGCCATAATCTTTCTAGCTCATTAGCGTCCGGCAATCTAGCCGGGCGCGAAGCCAAGAAACGCATAGAAAGGTAGCCAACTTAGGTGGGCGGTTTGCCGTGCGGGTTGCTCCAAGTACTTCTCTCATAGCAGCGTGAACCATGGAAGCAACTCCATGCTTGTGATGATGTGTTCTGTTGCGGTAGTCCTGCCATCGGGGTTTTAGTGGGGTAGTACTTACTGGCTTTGCCGGTGAGTCCTATATAACCACCTGTATATATTGCAGATGATATGCGTAAATGCATTTTCCAATATTAAAGAAAAAGCCATAATGTTACTAAATTTCATCCAAATCCGTTTAGCCGTTTAGGCATTAACGAGGAACAAACATAAATATCTACACACACACGCATTTGTCTTATAGCAGTCCGATAATTGCACCTTCTCTTACCTGTTACCATATAAGTGACGAGACTTAGAGGGATCTAAACTAATTGAATAAATAAATGATAAACAAACACTACCTGAAAAAAATTTATACGTGTTAGATAGCACAAGTAACATTTGAAAAGGTTATTTATTTCAATATCACAAACATACTTCAGTTTTTTGCATGTATATAATACTCGTAACTAGCATATATTTTAATGACGGCTAACGGCTGCTTTAAGTATTTATGAGCCATTGCCATACAGTTATCAGTTATAGTAAGAAATTATGATAAAAAATATTTCTTAGAACACGTTTATCGTTTAAGAGTTAGGTAATTATTATATTACACTTGCTAAATATATATATATATATATATATATATATATATATATATATATATATAAATTTTATTTAATAAAAATAGTTTACGGATGTTATAATAATAAAAAAAAATTAAATAAGTTAATATTATGTTATTTCTTTCAAGAAAAGAGAATTAACATTGAAAACACAAAATAATATATTTTATTGTTATTGTATCTATTTTCTACTCATAAATTGACAATTAACGACATATTGTAGATTAAAACCTATAAAATTTCCATTAAATGAAAGTAAATGATATGTATGACAAAATCGAGACTAATAGCATAAACAGCAAAAACATGCTACTATTTTTGACTTTGACATTTTATTGGCGGGCTTCGTCTATACATTTAACACTATTTCCCACATGCATGGGTTGACTGGAAGAGATCTCTTATAGAGATAAGTCCACCTTTGTCCACGTCACTTTCTATGTATTTTGTTTTTTATAATTTATTTGTGCAATAAAGAATATATATATATATATTTCTTTAGAGTATTAATGTTATTAAATTGTATTTAATTTATATGTACAGTTAGTACCTGTTCGTGTATATCCGTATTATAATATTATATATGTGAAAGTTTGTGAGTATGATTGTTTGTAACTCTTTAAAGCCAGAACGGCTGAACGGATCTGGATGAAATTTGACACAGAGATAGATTATAGTCTGGAATAACACATAGGCAACTTTTTATCCCGGAAAAATGTACGGTTCCCGTGGGATAGGTTTGTTTTCGTTTTCCTAGAGACGAACCCGAGCAAAGCGAGGGTGAGTCGCTAGTTATATTTTATAGGCAGAGATATGAGGCTATGTAGAGTGCGCTTCAGATGTCATACTTAAATGAAAGCATTAGGTATGCTGCGATATATGAACAACGTACCATGTTATAGCATAATGGAACTTTGTTAAATGGATATTCACAGTTCTGTACCTAAACGTATCATTTTACTTTTAAATAAATAACTAACTATTAAGTGTGTTTTATAACAATTACTAGCATTGCCCGCGGCTCCGCCCGCGTTCGGATGACCCGAAAATATCTCATTTCTAAGAAAAAATATAAAAACACAAAAACTGCATTGTAAAAAAACTGAAACTGCTTTTTGGTCATCTGAACGTGGGCGGAGCCGCGGGCAATGGTAGTTATTAAGAGAAGAAGTATCAATTCGAAATGGCTAAAACTAAAACTTATCTATCAAAATCAAACTTGGCGTGAGCGAAGCCGCGGTCAAAAGCTAGTTTTTACTTGAGTTGAGTATCGAGCGGTTCACAGCTTCTATAAACAACACAAAATATTACAAATATTAGTCTACGGTAGATGAAATCATGCTTTCGGTAATTGTACAAGCACACGGACAGTCGAGTGTACACAAACTAAACAATTTCTCTCTATATACCTATGCTTATACTCGTAGATACGATCTCCATATTTGAGTTATATATTTTATATATTTAATTTAATAAGAAATGTTTGAAATATGTATAATCGTGGCAGTGGTAGTGGTAGCCCAGTGGTAACGCGCTCGCTTGGGAAACCGAGTGAAGCAAGTTCAAATCCCGGGTCTCGCACCTCTGATATTTTTACTTGCTTTACGGTGAAGGAAAACATCGTGAGGAAACCTGCATGTCTGAGAGAACTTAGCAAGTTTTCGAAAGACATGTGAAGTCCGCCAAGCCGCACTTGGCCAGCGTGGTGGACTATGGCCTGATCCCCCTCGCATTGAAGGGAGGCCCGTGCCCAGCAGTGGGACGTTAAAAAGGGCTGAATACATACGTACATACAATACATGTATAATCAATATTGTTTGTAATTTTTAAGTTAATGTTAGAGACTGCTAGTGACTCACCCTCGCTACTCTGAGGGTTCGTCCCTAGTTACGTTTTAACGTTTAGTAGGTATAGATTTTTCAGAGATGAGATATTTTCCCGCAGTAAAAAGTATCATATATGTTGACTCGGATAACCCGCTATCATCATACCGAATTTAATCAAAATCTGTCCAGTGGTTTCCCCACACAGACAAACCAAAATTCTAACAACTTTCGGCCTCTGTATCAATAATAATGACTATTTCAATAGGATTTTCCAAAAAATATTTAATGTATAGATTCGACTCAGTAAGAATTTTATTATTTGTTTAGATGTAGTTAGTGAGAGACGAGTCAATAGTTTTATATTTTAGTTTTTAGTTTTAGTCCACACATCTATTCATAAGTCCGTAAGTCTAAACTCAAAAAACCAAGTTCTTTATTCCACACACACGCTTACGTACAAAAGTGTTATTTTTATAGGCGTGAAACTAAATAAAATTCACACGCTTGCAAATTAGCAAGCAATTGTCAGTTTTATAAAACCTTGAGCCGTAAATTAACTAATAAAATATTTACAATAAACAAACATAGAGAAGAACAAGAAATGGATCTCTTGAGTAACTCTCCAAAACGTGTTCATTTTGACAATATTTATCAACGACGTCAATCTCGAATTAGTGTTTACTTGTACGGATATACATTTTTATTGCTGTTTTTTCATATTACCACAGATTATAATATATATTTTCATTATATATATTAAATCTTAAATATCTGTTATGTTAAAAACCCTGATTGTTTTTTTGCAATAGTAAGATTATTTCATTTTATTATTATAGGTACACTAGATCTATGCGAAATCGCATGGGATTTATAAATATTATCTAATGTAATGTGCAACCCAGAATTATATATTCTAACTAGCACTGCCCGCGGCTCCGCCCGCGTTCAGATAATCAAAAACCAAATTCTTAGGTTTTACATTTAAGTATACTCTTACATTGCAGTTTTTGTATTTTTTCTCAGAAATGAGATATTTTCCCGCGGTAAAAAGTATCCTATATGTTGGTTGACCTGGATAATCA